GTATTGAATCATTCGGTACGAGGCTTTCGGTTCGGTACGCATTACAAACCGAACGATTCGTTGCACTAATCCTATTACATTTGGAAAATAAAAGAGCTTAAAGTGTGTGAGTAATGTTCTCAGTGCCGCTGCACTCAACAAGGCAGTCCAAACGACGTAACAGACAACGTGCTGTCTGCCCCGCGATAACCTCCCCTTGCTTCTGTGCGTCGAAAGACGATGATCTTGTATCGACGACAGCCAGAGATATCGTCAAAAACATCAATGTTTGGCAATATTAAGAGGATTTGGCATTTCCAATTAATGTAGGCATGTTACATTCTTATTTTTATTAGGCCTATTATTATTATGAAGTTACTTTTATTAAATTACAATTAATTTGCCCTGCAATAATTACCACATAACTGACCCGCTGCGAGTATAACAAAAGATTAAGCTATTAACTCAGTTAAAATATTAAAAATAAGGTATTTTAAAACAGGTCTATTATACAATGAATTATAGGGCTTTAATTAAAATATTAACACTGCAGTCATCAATAAAAAGCTTAGCCTATAGGCCTATTTCAAGCACCGGCTTTCAAAAACAACCTATTTCACACGAAATACATTTCTTCTCTTTTTTTCCCACTATGTACGGGCCACAAGAGAAATATTAAGGGAACAAATGAAAACAGTTAGCTATATACCGTTATCAGCATATGCTGAAGTAGATTCGTCTCGTCGTCTCTGAGAGAATATGTGGCGTCAGATGCCAAAAGCTCCGTCATTACTCCGTCATTCCGTTTTTACTTTCACTTTCTGCACAGTGAATTGACTGAGATTAAAACTCTTGCGCAAAGTTTGCACGTTGCTTGATAATTACTTATTTATTTTTAAATCATATTTATTTTAAAATATTTAACGAATTATTATTTTATTTTTTAATAATACATTTTTTAAGTGTTTTTGAGTACCCTGAAAAGCGCTTTATAAATACAGGTATCATTATTATTTACATTATTTGTTTAAAATGTACTTTTGGTAATTTGGAAGATGTTTAAGAAATCCTTTTTGTACCCCTAGCTGTTACTACCATTTTATAAATAAATTAAAATAATGTAAACAAATTGCAATAATATTATTATAATTATTAATTAATTATATTAATTAATAATATAATATATTATATATTTTTTAATAATTCAAAGCCATGCATGGCAGTGATATAAGTGTATTTGAGCTTGTATTAACACCTTTGACTTTGCGTTCCTTGGCCTCCATCTCTAATGTGGTGTGGTGCTGCAGACACAGTCTGCATTTGGACAGCAGCTCCTGTAGAGCCGGGCCTAAAGCAGGGTCCAGCTGCTGAGGGGCGTAAACCGACAGCACCAGCAGCAGCGCACGCAGATCCTTCAACAGAGAAAGAGAGAGAGAGACGGATGAATAAAGATCTCTGGAGCGCTGGGTGAGACGTGAGGAGGAGCTGTACTCTCCATCTCTTGGTTGGTGTGGTGCTGCAGACACAGTCTGCATTTGGACAGCAGCTCCTGTAGAGCCGGGCCTAAAGCAGGGTCCAGCTGCTGAGGGGCGTAAACCGACAGCACCAGCAGCAGCGCACGCAGATCCTTCAACAGAGAAAGAGAGAGAGAGAGACGGATGAATAAAGATCGCTGGAGCGCTAGGTGAGACGTGAGGAGGAGCTGTACTGACTGCGTTCAGGAGGCTGCTGGTCTTGCTCATCTCTGCTCTCTGATTGGTCAGCTCAGGCTGCAGGCTGTGGTACTCGTTCAGTAGGTTGGTCACCAACACATTGACGAGATTCGAGCAGCTCTGGCCTGACAACACCTGCACCTGCACCTAAACACACAAACAAATCAAGTTTCAAACTGCAAGAGAGTCGTGTAGTTACTTCAGAACTAGACAAGATTTACCCATGATTACAGTAAATCTGCATGAGAAGTAGATGAGTATTTACTTTATGTAAGAAGCAGGTGAGGTAGGAGTAGGCGATGTTGTTGTTGAGGAAGTTTCTCTCGTCCATCAGGATGCATTTCATGTATTCTCCAAATGCTGGATCCTCACACAACAGCTTCACACACGACTGAGCCATCGCACACTGACAGAGACCAGAAAACACACACATCTGACTCTCACTTCTGATTGGATGACACGGCTTTGTTTTAATAGTCATGTCTCTGAAATATCTGCTGCTTAAAGGCCACCTCTAGTGTCTGCTATATTAGGCATCTATCCGAGATACAGAGATGTGTAATTCAAAATTATACTTTTAATGTACTGTAATGTAATGTGTTTTAAAAAATGATGTGTGATTGTTGTGTGTCTTATTTAAAGTGTCTTTGTGTACCTTGAAAATATATTATAATGAATATGTACAAAAAGTATTTAAAAAAAAAAAAAAACTACTATAATATATGTATAATGTAAATGTATAAATAATAATTATAATAATATTTTAGCTAGGAAATATTAGAGGAGTAGAGGAAATATTATATCACTTTTTGATATACCATTAAAAACAAAAACAAAAAAAAAACAGGTAGCCCATCTGATTTAGGACATTTAGGCTATCCATCTAATTAGTAGCCTACCAAAATCTTATTAACAGTAGAAGTTAAATTTTACTGTAGTCTTCAAATCTGGGTACTGTCTTACGTTTTAAAATCACAAAGGGAGTTTGGTGCCATCAGGCTAATGTGACAGTCACGACTCATGCAGCTGTAAGGTTTTTTTCTTTTGTTTTTACTCGCGATCTTTACAACACACATTACATTACGTATTTCATGGCACACTCGTTTTATGAGTATTTGGCGCCACCTATTGTTGTGGCTGTATTATTGACATGTCAAAGTCTAGACCCTGAATATAAGACGACCGTGTTTTTTCAGATGTATTTCCAAGAAAAAAATATCGTCTTATATTCGGGACAATACGGTAATTAATCAATTACATTTTAAATACTTTAAAACTATGCATGACAGTGATTTTACCGCAGTTTTAGGCACGCCACGTCTCATCAAGCTTAACTTGTGGTAAAGCATGACCTCTAGTGGCTTACTGCTTCATCATGTGTGTGTGTGTGAGAGATGACTGAGAAGATTTTACCTGAGACTGAGCGAGTTCTGTCCATAGTTTTGGAAAGAGAGCCAGGTGTAAAGGAAGTCCTTCATATGCTATCAACACACCTGCACACAGGTGAATAAACACCATCAGCACACACACACACACACAGAGTCAAACTGAGCTTTAGAGAGTGAAGCATCCTTACTGAGTTTCACCAGAGTCTCGGTGAACTTCTCACAGTTGATGGCGACTCGACAGAGCAGGTGAATGAACTGATGATACGACAGGAAGTAGTCCAACAACATCCTGTCATACACCTCATCCTTACCCTACAGGAAACACAAAACGCACTCGATGAATAACTAAAGCTCAGCGTGCGACAGGAATCATGCGTCGGTCTCATACACACCTTACTGGTCTCCACCATCGAGGGCAGCAGGCACATGTTGAGCTCCGGTCTGGGAGGACGAATGTTGTTCTTTCCGCCCATCAGCTTGATATTCTCTCCACAGGGCAGGTACGGGCCAAACGACACTGAAAACACACACAGACAGTGTTACAGATCACAGTGATCGTGATGATGATGATGATCAGTGCTGTAAGTATGCTCTTTCGGCGGGACTCACTGGGGATGTTGCTGTGGTGGTAGGTGCAGTGGTTGTGCTGCAGGAAGGGCACGAGCGTGTGCAGGAAGTCATGAGGACTCAAGAGCACCAGCTCCTTCAGCACATCTGAGAATAAACATGCACATTCAGATCACATTCATCTGCTGCTTCGGTTCATTTGAAGAGCGGTGTGTTTGTTTGGTGGATGTGGCGACTCACCCAGACAGGCGTTACGCAGCTCTGGTGGGCTGTAAGAGTTCAGCAGCGTCAGCAGCTTATGAGCGAAATCAATCCTCTCCTGCCACTGGATCAACGCCTGCTTCACATCTACAGATGGACACAAATCAGCAGTGATCGAGATTACAATGCACATACAAGTGCATTATGGGAAATTAGGTACTTCAGTACTGATTCTTTAGGAACGTTATGGTAATGAGTATTTTTGTACTGAACATTAAGGTGTATTATGGGTAATGAGTACTTCTGCATTGCATCAAGACGGCTTCTGTTCCAGCATTGTTAGCTTGCCATTGAAAATGGTCAACATGTGACTGAAATGTTTGCCTTGTTGCCCTGTTTTTTTCAGTAAATTGCCTGCATTGCTTTCATCTCGCTTGTGATTTTTGAGTGTGCAGCATGTGCTTTTTTTTGTATTTTACTTAATGAGTACTTTTTCAATGCTTCTTAAGGTGCATTATGGGTAATGAGTACTTTTTCAATGCTTGTTAAGGTGCATTATGGGTAATGAGTACTTTTGCAATGCTTGTTAAGGTGCATTATGGGTAATGAGTACTTTTGCAATGCTTGTTAAGGTGTATTGTGGGTAATGAGTACTTTTGCATTGTTTCTTAAGGTGCTTTATGGGTAATGAGTACTTTTGCATTGCTTCTTTAGGTGCATTATGGGTAATGAGTACTTTTTCATTGCATCTTTAGGTGCATTATGGGTAATGACTACTTTTGCAATGCTTGTTAACCCTTAAATGCATGAATGTTTCGCCAATCATTATTACATATTCGGGTCTTTAGCGACCCGGACCTATATATACAGCACGGATGGATCTTTAACTGCTGCAATAGCAAAAAACTCTCTTGATATTTTAAGAACAATTACAGAAGAATAAAATAAAGCATATTTTGTTTCCTTTTTGAAACTTAAAGGGGTTCAATTTGAGCAGATGATTTTACCATCGCTGTCATCGTCAGAGCGCACTTCCACAGAACATTCAGCATCTGCCTCATATTCACGATCTCAACCATATTCTCAAAACTATCGTTTTCAATGACTTCATATTAAATATTTTGATCACTGGCAGCTTATTCACCACATCACAGTGACATATATATTTCATTTTGTACAGTAATTGCTCTGCAGTAAAGCCATTCAAACCGGTTACATTTTTGCTGATGATATTCTTTTGTTTTATGCCTGCAGTAATTATGAGTGAAACATCACCTCATCATTGTGTAACAAACAGTGCCACCTCGAGGAATAAAGATGCATTGCACATATTGAGTCATCAGATATGTAAATAAAGTTGTGCAGGAAAAATATACTTACACATTTACATACCTCGGGTCTCTAGCGACCCTATACACTTTTTACACAAAATTAATCAGAAAACTCTTTATACACTCTTTTATATATATTTTTTTGTTTTTTGTTTTGTTTTATTGTTTATAATGGATAGATTGAGGAATACTAAGAAAGTTGATGTCTAACTTTAAAAAATGAAGGAGGGAGAGGGTAGTGAATGATGTCCCGGGTTGCTAAAGACCCGAGGTATGCATTTAAGGGTTAAGGTGCATTATGGGTAATGGAGTAGTTTTGCATTGCATGATATATTAAATAATGATAATGGAGTACTTGTGTTCCACATTTAGGTCTATTATGGTAAATAAGTACGTTTGTAATTCATAAGGTGCATTATGGGAAATGAGAAACTTTAGTATTGATTTTTCAGGTGAATTATGGGTAATGAGTACTTTCTTTTGTACTGCATGCTACACCAACGTCCTACGTCATCCACCCGGAACGGCTTACGCGTACAACAGTTAGCAGAAGCTAGAGATTACTGTTCATAAAATTTTAAATATGGATATTTTCTTGCAAAAACGATTTTCGCTACAGGAGGCCTTTATTCACTCCCCGGAGCCATGTGAAGCACTTTCTATGGATGCGCTTTATTAGACTTCTTTTGGACTGTTGAACAAGGCTTGGAAGAGCCAGGACATTTTTTAATATAACTCCAATTGGATTTGTCTGAAAGAAGAAAGTACACCTAGGATGCCTTAAGGGCGAGTAAATCATGGGGTAATTTTAATCTTTGGGTAAACTAACCCTTTAATGGTAATGAGTACTTTTGTAATGCACATTAAGGTGCATTATGGGTAACAAGTAGTTTTGCATTGCAAGCTTAGGTGGATTATGGGTAACTTTAGTAGATTATTCAGGTGCATTATGGGTAATAAAGAACTTTTGCATTGCATGGTAGGGTGCATTATGCATAATGAGTACTTGTACTGCAAGTGTAGGTGTATTACGGGTAACTGAGTAATTTTGTATTGTGTATGGTGCATTATGGATAACAGAGATTCTATATAGCATGTTATGGTCCATAAGTAATGAAGAACCCTGGAGTTATTTGTTTAATATGCATTATGGGTAATCATAAACATCAGTGAAGTGTGTGGTGTATTATGGGTTATGCACTACCTTTGCGCTGTAAGTAGGGCCGCATTGCCTTTAAAACAGACAGGAAAATAGACAGCAGCTCCACCAGATCACCGGTCACGTGACACGCAGTGGCCTCATGGTACATCATGTGCAGGGTGTTGAAGGACTGCAGACAGAGAAATGTTTAATTCTATACGACAGGCCATTATAATATGAAGATGCATGAAAAGAGTGAGTGAGAGTATGAATACCTCAGTCATGAGGATGAGTCCTCTGTTGAACACCACCAGCAGTCTGTCCTCATCGTTCTCCAGCAGTATACGGAAGGCACTGAGAGTACACAAAGAGATTAGTATGGATGAAAATGGCTCAATCTTGTAAAATACTCAACCAGACTTAATAGTGTGTGTGTACCTGATGAGAGTGGTCCAGCAGGAGCGCCCATCCAGACAGCGCAGGTAACAGCTGATGGTGGTCTTCTTGAACTGCTTCATGTCCTCCAGCTCTTCTTCTCTCATATCAGGCCTCTGAGCCACAAACAACTGCATCAGGTTAAACAACTCCTCCACTGCCTGCAGAGAAAGAAAAACAACACAGTGTTATTGACTTGAACTGAATTAAACTGAATAGTTAAGGCTTAAAACATTCATATTCCTTCAGACAGAAACACAGTGAGAAACAGGAGGCACTTGAAGCTTAAAACTCTGAAGACAAACAAAAAATGTTCAGTGAACTCTCGGAAAATGTTGTTTATACACTATAGGAGGTCAAACTAAATTTAGTATTATTATATGCAGTGCTTTATTTTATTTGAGATTTACAATTTTTGCAAACCTGTTATTAAAAGTTGGGACACAATTTGAGCATTTAAAAACTGATTTGATTAAATTTTTATAGCAATAAACATTATTTAAACTATTAAAATATTTAAAAAAATATTTAAACCAATATATAAAAATAAATATATAAAATAAAAAAGCAAATGTGTAATAAAAAAGAATGATTCCCCAAGGACAAATTAAATTATTTAAAAGTAAACACTAAAGACATTTATTATGTTAAAAAAGATTCCTATTTCAAATAAATGCCGTTCTTTTGAGCTTTCTATTAATAATAAAAAAAGAAAAAAAAAACTGTTTTTACAAACTATTATGCAGCACAACTGTTTTCAACAGTTATTATTAATAAGAAATATTTCTTTAGCACAAATCAGCATATTAGAATGATTTCTGAAGGATCGCATCACAGAAATAAATAACATTTTAAATTATATTAAAATAGAAAAGAGTTATTTAATATTTCACAACATGAAAGTTTTTTTGCTGTATTTTTGATCAAATAAATGCAGCCTTGGCGAGCAGAAGAGACTGTCAAAAACGTAAAAAACAACAACAACATACTAACCCCAAACTTTTGAACGGTGCCAAAGTTACTGATAAACTATGCCATAAATTAAAGCTTTTTTTTTTTAATGGTGCCAAAGTTACTGATAAACTATGCCATAAATTAAAGCTTTTTTTTTTTAATGGTGCCAAAGTTACTGATAAACTATGCCATAAATTAAAGCTTTTTTTTTTTTTTAATGGTGCCATAGTTACTGATAAACTATGCCATAAATTTAAAAAAAAACATGTTTTGCTCATATGTCTTGTAATAACTTTGGTAACCGGTTCAGAAACTGCTAAAGTGAAGGACTGTAGGCGCTGTACTCACCCCTGGGTACTGGCTGGCGTGGGGCGTGAGGTTTTTGAAGGCCCACTGTATGTTCTGGTGAGACGCCAGCTGGCGGGTGAAGGCGGGCGACTGCTCGCAGCACATGCGCAGGATGGCGTAGTACGCCGGAAGCATCCCGCGGTTGAACAGCACCACCTCCTGATCGTCGTGATCGGCCAGGATGTAGTTGAAGGCGATGTTTTTAGTGACGACAGGGTTTTGGACGATGAGACGCACGTTCTCGCTGCAGTCCACATATTTATGGTAGGAAATTTACAAAATATCTTCATGGAACATGATCTTTACTTAATATCCTAATGATTTTTGGCATAAAAGAAAAATCTTGACCCATACAATGTATTTTTGGCTATTGCTACAAATATACCCCAGCGACTTAAGACTGGTTTTGTGCTCCAGGGTCACAAATATGCGTCATATGAGCACCTAGACATGCTTTCATCTGCACGTGAAGTACCTGGAAGAGGTTCCAGAGGTCCATGAAGTAGTTGGAGAACATGAGCTTCTCGGTTTTGGAGATGAGGCAGTAGGTCATGAAGCTGAAGTACTGCACCAGTTTGGTGGTCCCGTGCACCGGCACGTCCACGTAGAGCTTGGCCCGGCCCAGCAGGCCCAGGAGCAGATTGTAGACCTGGTGCAGAACCACGGTGGTGTCGGGACTCAGTGGGAGGTCCCGCGTGGGGATGTGAAGAGAGCGCGTGGAGCGGAACATCTGACGGAAGGAGTTGCTCGGGATGAGAGACACCAGCAGATACGCCGCCGCTGAGAGAGAAATGCATTACATATGTCACAAAATAATGTCAAATCTGACATTTTATCAATCAAAAATATATTATAAAAATAAGACAAGCTATCCATTTTGCAGATGTTTGTGTGGATGCATAAAATGTTATTTAAGGAACATTCAGATATTTTTAAGCATGTGTGTAGTTCTTGATGGTCTTATAATGTGTATTCATATATACACTACTATTCTACTACTAAAAGTCTGGGGCAGAAACTAAAACCTGAAAAAAAAAAAAAAAACATTTTAGTTACTTGGTTATAAAATATAAAAACTTAAATTACTATAATGAATATAATAAATACAGTATTAAATAAAATTCATACTATAATAAAATTACTATTTTATTATAGCTAGTTGTCAAGGCAACAGTTCTCATTTTCGTTTAGCTTTAGTTGAAGTATTAAAATAACTAAAACAAACTTAAAAACTATACAGTCGTATTTGAAGGAAAATAAACAAATACAAATGTCAACACGATAAAATTACAAAAAGTTTAAAACTAAAAATTAAAACAGAAAATATAAATATAAACAAAAACTATAATAGCATATCAATAATTCTAAAATAACATTGGTTAAAGATTTTGTAGTGTTTTTAAAAGAATTCTCTTTTGCTCACCAAGGCTTTTTGATCAAAAATACAGTAAAACAGTAATATTATGAAATATTACTAAAATTTAAAATAACAGTTTTCTACTGTAACATATTTTAAAATGTAATTTATTTCTGTGATCAAAGCTGAATTTTCAGCATCATTACTCCAGTCTTCAGTGTCACATGATCCTTCAGAAATCATGAAAATATGCTGACTTGCTGCTCAAGAAACATTTCTGATTATTAATAATATTAAAAACAGTTGTGCTGCTTCATATTTTTGCAGAAATGTGGATACTTTTTTCAGGATTCTTTGATAAATAGAAAGTACAAAAAGAACAGCATTCATTTGAAATTGAAATCTTTTGTAATGTTATAAATGACTGTACTGTCACTTTTAATCAATTTAACTTGCTGAATAGAAGTAGTATACATGTATTTACATGTATTTTTACTATTCAAAATATATTTTTACTATTCAAAATACATTATTTATTATTTACAATTAAAATTCATTAACTTTTCATTATATATATATATATATATATACAATGTGTGTGTACTGGTGTGTATTGGATTGTGTGTTCTCACATGTTCGGACTCGTGGGTAGTTGTGTGCCAGCAGAAACCTCTCCACCCAGTTCTCCATGTTCTGCAGGACCCAGCTGTGAGCAAGCTTATTACGCGGAGTCTGAACGGCCAACCAGTCCAAACACTGAGACGGGTTATACTCAATCACCTGACAGACAGAGATCAGACGCTCAGATCAGTGAGGCAGAGACAGGTCTTCAACATAGACACAAGACTCTGATGTAAAGCACTGATCCAGTGGAGAAGAGAGAAAGCGAAAGAGTGATGGGACAGTGTGGGGACAGATTTACCTCCCAGATCCTCTGCAGGATGTAGGACGCAAACGAGGGCATTCCCGGAGGACCAGCAACAAACTCCATCAGCATCGTCAGCAGCTTGAAGAACGGATTTGCTGCCTGTCAGACACACGCAAAATGTTAGTGTGTGTAAGAATAAAATACTAAAACAACAATAGTACTGGGAGCTGTTCTTACCTCTGGAGTCAGTTTAGCGATGGAGGTGAACAGCATTGACACGATCTATACCAGCACAAGAACACAAACCATGAGACGTTATGTTGTTGTTTGATATAACTGTTTGCATGCTTAGCTATAATTTGAGGACAAAGACTTTTCCAAGAACTAAGCTACACTACTGTTCAAAAATTTGATTGAAAGTAACAGTAAAGACATTTATAATGTTACAAAAGATTTCCATTTCAAAAAATGCTTTCTATTAATAAATAAATACTTAAAAATATGAAGCGGCATACATTGATGATAATTAAAAAATATATTTCTTAAGCAGCAAATCAACATATCAGAGTGATTTCTGAAGGATCATGTGACACTGAAGACTGGAGTAATGATGCTGAGAATTCAGCTTTGATCACAGAAATAAATTACATTTTAAAAAATATTAAAATAAAAACAAGTTCTTTTAAATTGTAATATTTCACAATATTACTGTTTTTACTGTATTTTTCATTAAAAAAAAAAAAGAAGCCTTTTGAGTAGAAGTGGATTCAAAAGTTAGCAATCTCTGTGTAGAGACATTCTGGGGCTCAAATGTTTTAGTTCTAAATGTGCAAGACATAGATTAGAAGAAGGGCTCATGTTACTAACCTCTAGCTGTTATAAGTAGCTTTCTATAAAAACACTAGAAGTGTGTGATGTCAGAACGGTAAGCGTGCGCATCTTACGTGTTCTGCCAGGCGGTTGTTGTATCTGCAGAGGCTGAAGATGAGGTTGCAGGTCTGTCTGATGTTGATGCTGTCTCTGATGTGTTGGAACAGGAAGGGGAAACCTTTTCCTCCGGTCAGCGCGGCCATGTCACTCTGAGACAGAGTCAAGTGTCTATAGACAGAGACAAATGGTCAGAGATTACTACTCTATTGCAGTAAAAATGGCCGATGGGGCAACTGTGTTTGGTGATGCTTCTGAAATTACTTTCAACATCTTTAACAGCCCTAAAATAGGTTTCATTTTCTTTGAAAGAATTCGAAGGTGAAATATGATCCATTTGGGGTGAAATATGATATGCTTTGTGAGATTAAAACCCAATTCTTCAGTGTGCACCTCTCAGATCTGGACTGCTCCACCAGCAGAGCTATGAGAGCGATCATCTTCTCCAGAGCGGCCGGCCTGTACTTCTCCTCCGCCAGTGAGAGGATGTCCTCCTCTTCATCCTCCTCACCCTCCTCCTCCTCAGATAACACCTCCACCTGAGGCTGAGAGACAGAGAGATGGACGTTATGATCTGAGATCAGGAAAATCCTGAATCAGAGAAGATCCAAGCCTTGATGGGACGCCACTCACATTTTCAGGTCCTTTAGTGCCTATGTAGAAATGCACCATTATAGAAATGGCTTGCAAAGATAAGAGGAACTGACTCTGTGAAGACAAAAAGAAAAAAAAAATATTAAAAGAAGAAAATAAAGAATAGACATTAAAAATTGTCAAATGTTTAATAAATAAATAATAAACAAATAACTAAGTGAAATTAAATAAGTAAATACATAAGTTAAATAAGTAGGTACAAAACATGCAAAATAAATAAGTAAATAAATAAAATAAATACAATAAAATAAAACAAAAAGTAAAATAAATAAATAGAAATAAGTAAAATAAGTAGGTAGATGAATAAAGTAAAAACATATAAGTATACAAATAAATGCTTAAATAAATAAATAGATGAATAGTCGTTACCTCCTCTTCTCCCATTTTGGCAAACTCGTATAGAAAGGCAAAGTATTCGGTCAGATGTTTGCTGTGAGGCTTCACTCCGTGCTCCATGATTGACAGCAGCGTTTTGACGAACCGCGTCACACAGGAGCGGCTGCCGATGTCCTCCACCGGCCCGTCCATATCATCAGATCTGCAGGCAGACCAACAGAAATGAGAACTTTTCTAGAAGAATTTCGCAGGATCACAGCATATGTATTTGCAGATATGAGGACAGGATGGTTATCTGGCATCAGAGGAAGACAATAAGGGACGCATCACACACCCGTCCTCCATGCCCGGCTGCAGGTACAGGTGAGCGTGGACCGGTCTGAGGCGCTGGATCACGTGAATACACAACCTCTGAAACATCTGGAACATCACAGCAGCACATTAACTATTTTTTTCAATGCAAATGTTTTCTTATAGAGGAAGGGTGTGGGTTTGTCTGTTAATAAAGATAATCTTCATTTAAGAAAAATCTTTAAATAAAGGTGTTTATGTGACACTCACCTGACGTACAATCTGATTGGGACACTTGATGAGAATCTGCATTGGCCACCAGTTATCATCTGCCATCTGATCCAAAAACCACTGCGCACACAAAGACACAGACACACTGATCTCCAAAACAGCATTACCCAACAACACTGCTGATATCATCAACTCTCTCCATTCATTTGGCTCAAAAGTGATTTTACAGAACAGAAGATCCGGGGAAACAAGAAGCTGCATGTAAAGTGTGAGTGTGTGTGCCTTGTGGAGATTTTTTTTGGTCCCCATGAAGGAAACAGCTTATAAATCGAACAAAGTTTTAGGGGTAGGGTTAGGGTAAGGGGATAGAAAATAAAGTTTGTACAGTATAAAAACCGCTACGTCTATGGAATGTTCCCATAAAACATGGAAACTAGTGTGTGTGTGTGTGTGTGTGTGTGTGTGTGTTACCTCGCAGGCAGCTTGGCTATTGTTAAACTGTTTGGTCAAGAGTTCAATCCACTGCAGCATTGTGGGCTGAGAGAAAAAAAAGAATGAAATGTTAACTTACAAGAACAAAAAAACAATTATTGAACACTACAGAAAATGTCATCAGGACTCTCCGGTAAATTACAATAGAAGAACAATAGAAAAACAACAGAAGAGAAGTAAAGTCCATCTCACCTTTTCTTTGGAGTGGATGAATGTCTCCAGAACAAACGATGTGCTGAGCTGTGAGAGAAAGAGTGGAAAACGACTCGAATTATGAACCTCCCTATTTCCCCGTGGACAGTAACTCATCTGAAAGATGCCACTTCATCAGTTAGTGTGGTGCTGTTCATGTGGCCAGACTCACCTTAGCCGTCATGAGCGACACGGATTTAGGATCCGCTAAAGTGCTGGGAATACTGCTGCACAGCTGCCACATAAAACTACAGAGAAACAACAAAAGAAAAGAATGAAAAAGAACATAGAAGGGAACGAGAGGACAGATCATATAAATATATTGTTTTACATTGACAAATAAAATAAAAGTAAAGAAAGAGAACAGAAAATAAGACAAAATAACACAGAGAGTAGAATGAGGAGAGAAAAATTACATAGACATTATATATCACCATACATAAATAGAAATAATGAATAAAAAGAAAATAAAAAATAATTAAAGAGTTATCAAAGACATCCTTGTACATAGGTTTGTGACTGTTCTCTTACCCGAAGTATGTGTGTTCAAAGATGTTCTTGTCCTGGAGAAACTGCATGTTGTCGTGCCAGATCCACTACGAGAGAGACAGAGAGAGATGAAGCGTCAGTGAAATGCTCAGAAGTGTGCAGTGAAGACTGACGGTGAGAGGTCTGTACCTCCAGAAGGTCAGGAGAAATGTCAAAGTTCAAGTCCTTCTCATTCTCCTCCTCCACCTCCACTCTCTTATAGAACAGCATGTAGGCACTGTGGGTCTGAAAGACAGACAAATCACACGTTACTTTGTTTATTTCAAAGTAAAGGATTTCAAAATCTCAAGCAAAGACTTATCATTTAAATAATAATAATTATTATATTTTCAATATATAAATACCAAATTACATAAAATATTAAAGTACAAAAAATGCATTACTTTTACTATAATTACAATTCATATGTAAATTAAATGATGATAATAATAATCAATATCAAATTATATTTATATTATTATTCTGTTGTTTTATAATAATTATCATTATTATCGCAAAACCAACCTTTTCAAAGGAGAAATCCATGAACTTGTCTGTGACAGAGTCGTATGTTTTTGTCTAAAATGAGACGAGCATTTTTTAATTAAAACAACATTAACAAGATTTGATTTATATTAGTTTATCCTCATACCTGCAAACTCACAAGAGGTCAAAAAGGTGACATAGTTCTGATTATGACTCTTATCGAGGGGTCTGGGGGCATCCCCCCATAAGAACATTTTTGAGAATTTATCATGTAAATGAAGCGTTCTGGTGCACTCGGACAACAAAATAAAGGAAAAAGACAACATATGCGTCAAGTAAAAAAAAGCACATTTATACCACAAACTTTTTGGACAGTGCACCTCTGTTGTCATCAGTGTTCATACTTCTCTTTGTGAGCAGTGGAGTAATTTATTTTTGCAAATTTTAATGTTCGCATTAGAGTGCACATACTATCAACAAACTTCATCTTTTCACTGCAGAGGAAACAGAAGCTGCATCTGAAGTGGCATTAGATGTATTTACACAGACTGTTTAATGAAGCTGAGGTGCCATAAATACATTTACATACATTTACACCACAAAATTTCAAATGCATAAATAATTTTATAAGATTAATGTTTTAAATATTTTTTAACATACAAGTTAAAAATGTTGGGAAAAATTCAATACTTTTAAATATGCAACCAAACCACCAATAGATGACGGTAAATGACTGTTTTAATGAGCGAGTCATTAGTCATTCATTCAAACGGCTGATTCATTCAAAAACGAGGCAAGTGACTACTGTCTTTATGAATGGGTTACTGAATCATTGACTCACTTGATTTGTTCAAAAACGTGGATTCATTCAGTATCGAAACACCGCTGTGTTGCTCGGAGACACAAAACAGTTCTGCTGTGGCTTTGATTGAAACTTTGTCAGTGAACTTGAGCAAAAACAGTCAATACTGGATCTAGATGATTCATATAAATTACCTATTTTGATTCAAAATGGCGAATTTCGCCGAAAAGCGACTAGTTTGCAGGTATGTATCCCTAAACGTTTATTGGAGGACTTGATCTGGTGGCAAAAATATCAAATAACCTACTGTCATCTCTCCACCAAAACACTCTGAGGCCAGCTGGGCCGAATCAAACGGCTTCACCTCAGCGTCGTTAAACAGATACCTGCAACAGGAAATGACATATCCACAAACACATATGATGGTCAGTTATCAATACCAAACTCTGGGCTGAAATGGTTCAGCAGCTGTAAATGCAGTGTGAATGCTCACCATTTGTTATTGCGGTAAGCGTGTGGGTTGACGATGTCCCTGATGAAGCTGTAATAATGGCCGCCGTCCGCCGTGCCCGTGTGCACCGTCACACCGATGAGGTCATACTCGTAACTCTCCGCCACTTTGGCATCACTGTCGTCACGGAAACCTGCATATGAGATCACGATTAGCTGACCGGAGAAGACAAATGTGATTTAAAAACAGTTCAGCAGCAAAAAAAAAAATCGTTCTACCTTCCTTCCTGTCTCCTTTGGCCATGAGGAAGTCCTCGGTGTACGGCGTCATGTCGAGCCGCAGCGGGAAGGAAAAGTGCGTGTTTAATTTTTCCTTCATCATGGTCACCATGTCGTGTAGCGCTCTGAGGCCAGCTGGGCCGAATCAAACGGCTTCACCTCAGCGTCGTTAAACAGATACCTGCAACAGGAAATGACATATCCACAAACACATATGATGGTCAGTTATCAATACCAAACTCTGGGCTGAAATGGTTCAGCAGCTGTAAATGCAGTGTGAATGCTCACCATTTGTTATTGCGGTAAGCGTGTGGGTTGACGATGTCCCTGATGAAGCTGTAATAATGGCCGCCGTCCGCCGTGCCCGTGTGCACCGTCACACCGATGAGGTCATACTCGTAACTCTCCGCCACTTTGGCATCACTGTCGTCACGGAAACCTGCATATGAGATCACGATTAGCTGACCGGAGAAGACAAATGTGATTTAAAAACAGTTCAGCAGCAAAAAAAAAAATCGTTCTACCTTCCTTCCTGTCTCCTTTGGCCATGAGGAAGTCCTCGGTGTACGGCGTCATGTCGAGCCGCAGCGGGAAAGAAAAGTGCGTGTTTACTTTTTCCTTCATCATGGTCACCATGTTGAACGTGTAGCGCATGGTGTTAAAGCTCAACATCCGCGGGAGCTTCTTAAAACAAGCCCTGAGAGACAGAAAGAGACGTCAGAAAATACTGAAAGATTCCAGCTCTCAGAGAAGGAAAAGAGCAAACCGTACCGTTTTTCAGCGCGGACTTTCTTCCCACACTGAGAGCAGGTGTACATGTTATCACCCTCCAGAGTGTCCTTAATGGTCACCTCGTCCAGAGACTCCTGAAACACAGAGACAGACACAGAGGATGTTTTTATATTAGTTTTGAGGGTTGATGTCTCAATTGGGGGAAATACACATTATTTGTCACATTACTTAACAGATGATATATGAGCAGTAAATCAGCATATTAGTATGATTTCTGAAGGATCATGTGACACTGAAGACTGGAGTAATGATGCTGAAAATACAGCTTTGATCACAGCAATAAATTACATTCTACAATATATTCAAACAGAAATTTTTTTTTTTTATGATTAAGGTATTTTTTGATATAATGGCTTAATCTCATTCAATCTCTGTAATATAATCTCACATTACGAGCGTAATATAACGTTATTTTCTTTTTGTCAACAAGGTACAAACATAAATGGTCTTGAGCAGTATTTCATTATGTTTTATACTTATTTTGGCCTCTTCAATCTCTGTCATGAGAAAAAGTGACAGTGATAAAAAAATGTTTGCAGACAAAATACTTGCAGATAAAGAAACTGACAGTAAATATTGCGTGCATTATTTACAGTCAAGGCTATTATTAGCCATTTTTCCACCCAAAACATGTTGATTGTAAAAATGTTTTTCAAAAGATTATGGATTACTAATATATTTTTTTTCCAATTACAATGCAAGATTTATTACAAAACATAAAAACAGAGCAATGCCACTAGAAGTTACTCAGTAAACAATTCAAATATTAACTTAAATTGAAAGTGCTTTAGCATTAGTAATTACAAATAGCTATCGGTACTTTAAAACCCTCCATAACATCTAAAAAATCAGCCATTGAAAAGCCTGTACTTAGTAGTTAATCCTTTAAATCCTGTTCCTTTGTGTGACCTGTACACAGAGCATTAAGCTTCCTTCTGATGAGTGTGTGTATGTGTGTGTGTGTGTGTGTAAATGAGAAACACTCACATAGATGTTCTTCATATCAGCCACCTGGCATCTGACTGTGTAAAACTCCTCAGCCGTCTGACTCACGTGATCACAGTCCTACACACACACAGATATCCAATCAAACGTTCATCCACGATCTCTCTCCTTCAGAAGAGACATTGCACACAAGAGCTGCAGGTTCAAACAGCTCAGTCTTACCAGTGAAACCACATTGTTGGTGATGACGCCTCCAAACAGCGTTTTGACTGTGTTTTTCTGAAACGACAAAGCAGCATTACATATCTATGACTATTTCACTAAGCACGCTCAAAGCTGTTTTGATGTCGTACCAGGTCCTGAGACATCTCCTCTATCTTGGTGATGAGGTCTGTGAAGAACTCGGTCATGTCTTTCTGCTCTCCTGTGTTCAGAGGCTGTTTGTCCATCGTGTAGGTCTTACAGAAGGGACGAGGGTTGTACGCCTTCCTCTCGCTCTCCTGCACATTAACACCGGAGAAGAAATTCAAATCACATCACATCTGCAGTCATGAGAGGGCATCACATGATTTGATAAAGTAATGTACCATTAGATAAGTGAACATCTTCTGCAGCTCCAGCAATGTGGTCTTATGCTTAATGTCCTCTGAATACTGAATATAAAACACAGACATAAACACATATTACTATAATACATAAATCCAACAACATCCTGAAGCATTTGAAACTAAACAATGGCGTCTGTGTGTTATTAAACAATAAGCCGTGCATTTCAATCAACTGCGGTAAAATGATGGTAACGCATGGCCTGTCATGTATTAGTGCATTTATGACATGACAGCATAGTTATGCTTTTATTCAGCGAGGATGTATTAAATTGATCAAAAGAGGCAGTAAAGACATTTATAATATTACAAAAGATTTTTATTTCAAATAAATGCCATTCTTTTGAACTCTGTATTCATTAGAAAATCCTGAAATGAAATCTATCATAGTTTTATGGAAAAATATTAAGTTATTTCAACTGATAATAATCAGAAATGCTTCTTGAGCTGCAAATCAGCATATTATACTGATTTCTGAAGGATCATGTGACACTGAAGACTGGCGTAATGATGCTGAAAATTCAGCTTTGATCACAGAAATAAATTACATTTTATCCTATATTACAAACAGAAAAGAACAGATCTGACTGTCAGTTTTATAAACTCACTTTAGCGGTAAAGACGGCCTGTCTGGCCTCTGGGATCATGTAGAGCTGCTGGATGGTGGAGGCTAGGTAACACGTGGCGCCCAGGTTAGTCAATCCCACAAAACGACACTCGGCTCGGACATCATCGTGGGGCCAGTAATCCCATTTATATGGAGCATGAGATGCTAAAAACAAACAAACAAAGATCAAACCAAGGCGCTTGTGTACATACATAAGTATGGACTTTTCTGTGTTGCTATTGTTTAAAGAACTTAAACTATTAAAATTGTTTTCGTTAATTGAAATTAGGCTGAAATAAAATATAATATAATATAATATACAAGTAATGAAAAGTAAATAATATAAGTAATGAAAATTAGAAGTTTTGCCTTGGCAACTAAAATAAAATAAGTTTAAATTGAAGTACTAAAATTACTAAAAAATAAAATTGAAAAAAATAAATAAAAATAAAGCTAAAAATAAATATTTAAAAACAATAAACTAATAAAAATTTTATGTCAATTTTGTGTGTTTTTTAATAAGTGTGAGATATAAAAGCATAGTGAAACTTCCTTTATAAAACGGAAGGTTCCGGTCCTTGATTCTGATTGGTTGATCCACGTTCGAAGCTGTTGTAAAATTACTCTACCAATAAGCCCCGTGAAGCCGTGGTTTACAGTGAATTTATAACAGCTAAGGGGGTTTTAGGCACTCCTAACAACACCCCTTAGCTGTTATAAATTCACTGTAAACCATGGCTTCTTGGGGCTTATTGCTTTATAAATCAATTTATGAGGACAACCTTGCTAATAATTAAGATGATTTAGTTTCTAATATTGTCTAGATCTAAATAAGGGTTAGGATTAAAAAAAGAAACTGTAACACTTAACAATAACCTTTCTTAGTTAACCTTAGTTGATGCATTAACTACGAGCAATACATTTGTTACAGTATTTAGGAAACTTTGTTAATGTTAGTTAATAGAAATACACCTGTTTCTTGTTAGTTCATGTTTTTATTTAAAAAAATGCATTAGTACATGTTGAAAGTAACATTAACTGTGATTAATTAATGCTTTAGAAGAATTTTTCAATGTTAGCTAAAGTACTTTAAGGTTAACTAACGAAGTTTATTGTATTAAAGGTGACATATCATGAAAATCTGACTTTTCCAGTGCTATAATCAGGTCCCCGGTGCATCTACCAACCAAGGAAACGTGAAAAAGATTAACCCAGTAACTTTGTTTTGGTAAGCCTTTTTCTGCAAGTGTCTGGAAAGTTTGAGCAAAACATGCTAACTGTTCTGTCATTGGCTGCACAGACGAGCACAGAACACTATTTAGAGTCCCAGCCTCAGAGGAGACAAGAGAGCAGTGCATTTATTGATTTATTTACTGTATATTGCTGCTGCCACACAGATCTAAAATAAACGTGTGATTTATTTCCCAGTAGTTTACCTTCACATACATAACCGACTGTTTTTGTAACTCATGTGTGTTTTTAACATTAACTTGTGTGTGAATGAGAACTTAATTTAGTACTCACATGCTGTGACAGCCGCTTTCTGTCCGTGTGCGCTCAGAAAACCGTATATCAGAAGTTTAAACTCATATGGTTTAAAACGCATGATTTCAGCGCGATAAACATGATAATCAGAACCAAAACAGATGTCTTTAGCAGGTCCGAGCTGTAATGGCAGCTCTATTCTGGAAAAGGGGGCGGGGAGCAGCAGCTCATTTGCAATTACAGAGAAAGGCACGAAAAACAGCGTGTTTCTGCTTCCACACAAAATAGGCATTTTCAAAATTATATAATAAATGATCTGTGGAGTATTTTGCGCTGAAATTTCAGACACATTCTGGGGACACCAGAGACTTATATTACATATTGTAAAAAGGGGCATAATATGTCTCCTTTAACTCATCCGCCTAATTTAAAAGCAACAGAAGTCAGAGATGTCCACAGGAAACCACTGCAACACACTCACGGTTGTGGCGCTCACCCTGCATGTGCTGCGACATGACCCAGTTGTGCAGCAGTCTGTAGTTCTCCACCGAACCCTTGACCACCTCCACCAGCAGGTCGTAGGCTGCGGCTCGGGCTGCGGGACTCTTGCATTTGGGCTGCTGTCGGTCCTTCAGGCTGGGCAGCAGGAACAGCAGGTCATACGTGTCCCTGAGGAACTCCTGACCCTCCCGAGAAAACTTAAAGGGAGGCTTGTGCTTCAGGACGCTGGTGGCGAGACGCAGGAGACCTGTCAGACCGTCGTCCTCGATTGCCCCGTCCTGCTGGTCCAAAATCTCACGACTGCAAGTAGAAATATAACAACAGCATGCTCAAAGCTCAGTGGCTTCACAGTATTTACAAAGATAAATGATGCATTTTTGCTCAATTACTTTCTAGTAGCATAATGTTACCAGTGATTTTCCATTAAAATGTCACTCTAGTCCAGGGGTACCCAAACTCGGTCCTGGAGGTCCTGTGTCCTTAAGAGTTAAGCTCTTTCTAGTCATACTAGAAACTTAAAGGCAGGTGTGTTGAGGCAAGTTGGAGCTAAACTCTGCAGGACACCGGCCCTCCAGGACCGAGTTTGGACACCCCTGCTCTAGTCTAACTAATAAAGTTTGTTTGCTCGTGGTTGTGCTCTGAAGGAGTAAGTTACGGGTTCAGAAGGAAACTGATGCAGTAACCCTAGCAAAAGGAGCGTGTTTGACCTGCGGATGCAGTCGGCGAGGTGTCGTGCCAGAGCGTCCAGATCCAGCAGGGTGGTCTGACTAGTGTCTTTCACATGGATGTTGTCGATGAGCTTACAGAGCAGCCAGAAATACTCCTTACAGCCGGTGCGAAACATGGCCTCCTCCTCAAAATCCTCCACCTGCACCGGCGAAACGACACGCACATTTACACTCATTTAAAGGAATTGTGCACCCAAAAAATGAAATGGGTAAATAACACTGAGCCAGCACTTAAGAAGAGTTGTTATCATTAACTAAAACTAAACTAAATCTATAAAAAAGAAATTTGTGTTCACTGATATAAAGCTGAAATAGGTTTAAAATTAGAAATATAACCCTGGTTTCACAGACAAGGCTTAAGGCTAGTCCCAGACTAAAATGCATGTTTGAGCTGTCTCAACTGAAAATATCTTGCTCTTACATATCTTAAAATGTCAGTGCCATCGTTCTGTCTCAAGATGCACACCTCAAACGTTTTTCTAAGGCATTTTTATTAAAGCTGCTTAAATATCTTAATTTAACTAAGGCCTAGTCCTGGCTTAAGCGAAGCCCCATCTGTGAAACCGAGCCATAATGTAATTTAATTTGTATTATTTATTTTATTTTAATTTACATTTAAATTATAACAAGAAAAATTAAAATTTGCAACTAAAATAAAAGTAGTAAAACATATAAATGTTTAAGTACTAAAATTACTAACTGAAATAAAATTAAAACTGAAATAAAAATAATTTACAACTATTTAGAACAATAAAATGCCATTTCTAAAACTGAAATAAAATAATTAAAATAAAAAATGGAATTCTAATTTTTAATGACTATTTAGAAATATACAAAAATATAAAAATATAAAAAAAACAGACAACGCATTATATAATTAGTGCTGTCAAACGATTAATCGCATCCAAAATAAATGTTTTTGTTTACATAATATATGTATGTGTGCTGTGTATATTTATTATGTATATATAAATACACACACATGCATGTACATATTTCAGAAAAATAGGTTATGTTTATTTATTAAACGTATTTATTTATAATATAAATTATATGAATATAAATATAGGCATGTAAATATTTTCAGAATATATACTGTATGTGTGTGTATTTATATATACATAATAAATATACACAGAACACAAACATATATTATGCAAACAAAAACTTTTATTTTGTATTCGATTAATCGTTTGACAGCACTATATATAATTACCCAAAAAATTAACAAAAATTAAAATGAAAGACAAAAATATAAAGATAAAAGCTAAATCAATTTTTATACACATACATACATACAAATAAATACTAAATACATAAATACTAAAATAACACTGGCACATTGACATTGTCAGTGTTTGTACAGTACTTACTCTCAGGGGTTTAAGCGCTTGTGCGTCTGGCAGGAACTTGAGCAGTGTGGACGCAGCGAGCAGCAAGAAGGATCTATTGATGGATTCTCCCCCCTCCAGACCTGACAGAGACAGCTTATACAGACCACTGCACGCCTCCTGACGCACCGCCGTCTGCAGATACAGTACAACAATACGATAAAAATACAATCCGAAACAGCATTCCTGCAGCTCCAACAGCAGAGCATGATAATAGCAATGCCAAGGTCATGAATTTGATTCCCAGAGAATGCATGAACTCATAAAAGGCGTATACCCTTAATGCAATGCATGTCACTTTCAATAAACCATCTACCAAATGCATAAATTTAACTTTAAAATAGAAATATTAATAAATAAATGGCATTCACAACGAATTTAACTTCTGGAATAAAATGCATTGCACAGAATATTCAATATATTTCACATAAATATTTTGTGGAAATACAGGGTAGAACTTGTTTTTTTAACTAGTTTGAATAGCTCTGGTTTGATTGGCTGATATAATTGTTCCCTGCCTATGGGATAGGGCTGTCAAAAAAATTTGAAATTCGAATACTCGTCAAATTTAAAATATAAATCCACATTCGACTGCAAAAACGTTACATTTGAATTTTAGGTGTGCGTCAGGCAGCCTTATCAGTGGCGCACGAGATGCGATGACGATGTAGGTGTCATTGCATTGTAATGGTTTTTTAGCCTATCCAGTTGAACCCACTGGATGCGGCGCTGCTACGTTGTTTATTCAAAATATTGCGGAAAAAGAGAGCATCAATGCGGAGATGATGTTGTTTACGTCAAAACTGAAACCAAGTCGTTCACACAGAACGCATATTTATCGCATTTTCTAGAGGGACGTCTATCACCGTTGCACTCGCGTCTCGCACAAGAGAGCCGCATGT